GTTTTGCAGCTGATTTTCTAAACCAAAGCATAGCATTGTATATCCAATCCTATTAAGTGTAATCACCTTAATTTCAGCCTGCATGAAGTTTCAGAAAAACGGAAGATATTTTTAATCCTACATTAAATTACCCCTCTGAGCTCTAAATATCCAGAAACTTGACTTTCAAATCATTATCCAGTAACTCCCAGATAAATAAAATCGTATTCAGGTTGACATGAATCTTTCAGAGATAGCCCTTTAAGCTGACACATAATCACAAAAAAGTGTCAAGATCCAGGCCCTATTTTCCCACATTGCCTTCATGAAGAGCCTTAGCAGATGACTCAATGAAGGACTGATAGACTGCATCCCCACCTCATTCTGTATGCACCAGTTTAGCAACCTGGTTCAAAGTAAGAAGTGAGTTTAAATTGATTTTAGTATATTCATCTCGACTTGTAGAGATCACTGTTGAGTACTTATTATTTCTCATGATTAAATTTCATAGTTAAAAACCTGAAAAATTTGAAATGGGTAGGAAAATATTGCTTCAATTAATAAATTGTTCTGTTGAAAAGATTAATTGAAAAGTTTATACTACTATCAAACCAATAAATATTCTCCTAAAGTAAACTAACATATTCCTGCTTTTCACCTGTCTTGAGTGAATTACTATCTAGGGTCTTCATTCTCAGGGTTAACTTGAACAGTCTTGCAATAGGAGGAATATATATATCAGTCTGCGATATCTTTGTGTTTCTTAAAATTTCTCATATAATCTACAACTGCATCATACATCTCTTTTTCATGAAAAGAAACAACAAAAAATTTAATACAGTACGGTATAGCTTCTACTGATACAATCAGTTCTTCAGTGAATTCATCAATTTTTCTTATGTAGTTAAGTATTATTGACAAAGTTAACACAGGTAGGTTATAAAATCTATCATTCTAAGAAAAGCCTATGAAACTTAACATGCTTCCAAACAGACTGACATGAAAGGTTGTTTACAGTAAAAGAAAAAAGTAATGTTATTACAGAGGGAGATGTATAGAAAAATTATTCCATGATTTAAACAATAACAATAATGATTGATATTTCTGCCTGATCTTCAAGGTTAAGGATAATTGAGCTAGAGTAGGTAAATATTTTTTTTACAACTCGGTAAACACGCCAGTCTTTTCCAAAGGCTGAATTTATTTATAATTCCACTGCTGATATAGAAACTGCCAATTTCAATACATTTTCACCAACCTCAGAAGGTAATTACTACTTATACTAATTTGAATTTTATTAACAATATCACTGACAATGTTTCTATTTGGGCTTTCCTCTTTTCTGCTTTTTTATAGGAACTAGGGTTTGAACTCAGGGTCTTAGGTTATTGCTTTTTTGCTCATAACTGATGTGTTACCACCTGAGCCATGCCCCTACTTCTTAACTGGAGATGAGTCTCTTAGATTGATCTGAACTGACTCCAGTGATTCTCAGATCTTAGCTTCCTGAGTAGATACGATTATAGGTGTTAGCCAATGATCCCTGGCTCCACCTGGTTTCTTAATTAATTTCTTTTGTGTGTTTTTTCCTTTTGCTAGGTCAATTATTGGGACATTAATATTTATATTATTTAAGCACTAATTATTTGTATTCATTACAAATGCATTAATTTAATAATCACTTTCCTACCACATTTGTTATTAATATTATTTCTTCATTTTCTTAAAAACAAAATAATTTTTATTTAGTCAATTACATTTAAAGTATACCTTTTTATACTGTATACATATGTAAACCAATTTTATAACTAATTGATGGTAATAAAAAAAAGTAAATGAGGAAAAAGAAACACTCTAGTCATATCATGATTAAACAGTACTTTAAAATTATACTTATAAATTGTATATGCATATGTTATAATATTTCCATGTAATTAGAAGCATGGTTATTACTGTCTATTATTATAATTAAATAAATTATAACTATATATTATTATAATAACATTATATTTATATACAATATGTCAAAAGCTGGACTTAGGCATGGTTCAAGGAGTAGAGCACCAGAGTGAGCGAGCTAAGCAAGCACAAGGCCCAGAGTTCAAGCCCTAGTACTTCCAAAAAAGGGGAAGATATGGGGAACTACCTACTTCATTCTTAAATTATCCCATTTTTCCTTTAAAGAATCTGATAAAATAACTCATTGCACCAGCTTTTGCTGTTAGGAAAGTTGAAGTTACACAGATGTTGGCACCTGTAAAAATAATCTCCTAATGCTTTATCTTTTCTCTCTTTTCTTCTCTTTTAGGCTTTTTCATCTCTTGCTTATTTTATACTGTATATAAACTGTTTGAGTTTGCATTCTATTTACTTAGTCCAAATTCAAAAAAGTTGTGAAATAAAAGTGGGATCACTTAGGAGGTGGAAAGAAGATAAGAAAAAAATAACAGAAAACAAATACAATAAAACGTGCATTATAGCATATATGAAATATATGCTATATAGCTACATATATGATGAATATGGAATATATGCTATATATAACTATACATATGATGACTATATGATGAAACTTCTTACAATGTATAATTTAACCTATATCTATAAAATGTTCTATACTTATTCTATTATTTTGTAGCATTTATACCTTAATGTTTTAATTATTAAAATAATACATGACACATGCACCTTATAAAATTTCAAATAAAATGGTCTCAATCATCATATCACCAAATTCCTAAGTTCAAGGAGATAGTAAATATGAAGTTTTCTAAACTGTAACTTATTCCCCTTATCAGCCTATCTTAGAATTTTGTCTGTACCTAGATCAGTCTTTCTAATAAGGTCATTTTATTACATACTGTGATGTCAGCATGCATGATTTATTTTATAATTTGTTTTATTTAGAATTTTTTCATTACTACTTAAGATTCCACACCATTGCCAAGTGCTGGTCGTTCATTCCAATAATACTAGCTATTTAATAGGCAAGACCTGTAGGGTCACAGCTCAAAGCCAGGTCATGCTGCAAAGTCTGCCAGATTCCATCTCCAATTAGTCAGCAAAATGCTGTACTGGAGACACAGATCAAGTGATAGAACATCATCTGTAAGCAAGAAAACCATAAGACCCTGAGTTCAAGCCCCAATACTAGAACACAAAAGAGAAAATATTCCACAGTAGTTAGCATAGACTTTAAGCATTTCCCTATATTATTCAACTTAAAAAAAAGCTTTTTATTTTTATTTTTATTGAAAAGGTGATGACCTGGGGGTGGGGTTAGAGCTACAATAAGTAAGGCAGTAAGTACATTTGTTTTTCATCATTGTTACCCCATTCTTCATTACCTTCCACTTACCCTTCCCCATTGCCCTCCAAAAATTTCAAAGTCATTTGTTTATCTGAGTTTGATTAGAAGAGTTTTGTTACAATAAACTTGAGATTGTAAGTATAAAAAGAGAAAACCAAATTAGGTAAGTAAAAATTAGTAATATTTAAATATTCTGGGAATAAACAAGAACATATATTTTAAAAGAAAATAAAAGTGAAATCAACCCCAAGATAAGACACAAGAGGGTCTTTCTTTGTTGCTGTTGTTTTAATGTAATATATAATTTTTTTCCTTTGTATGTTCTTCCCCCTATGGTAGATCCCTTGTTGTCACTGTATTTGATTTTGGTACCCGGAATCTTGTATATACATTTGTCTAATTTGGGGAGGTGAAGGGGAATAACAAAATGCTGGAACAAGGACACAGGATGACCCATTGCAACAATGATACCCACATGACATTATATTGGAAATGAACTTTACAACTTTGGGGGAGAGGGAAGAGTAAAGGAGGTGGGGGAGGGAAGGGTTAGTGGGAGAACAACAAAGAAGGGGGTAACAATGCTTGACAAGAAAATGTACTCATTACCTTAGTTATGTAACTATAACCCCTCTGTACAGTATCTTTACAATAAAATACAACTTTAAAAAGATAAAAAAGAAAATATTTTCCTAACTAAATAAGAGACAGAGCACTGAGGACAAAATCGAATCTTTTCCATCATAATCTGAGTCATCTTCCCCTCACTCCTACAGCTGGAACCTGTCTCACTCACTCTACCTAACCTGTTCTTACTGTCATTTTGCTCCTTAGAGGCATCCAGCCTCCCCTCTTCTATGGATGTGTAGACTAGAATACTACAGAGCATTCTTCCACAACTGCTCCTTCCTCACATTTAGGACTCTATATAAATGCCAGGGCTTTGCTGCCCACATATCCAATCCACCTATCCAATGCTGCCAAATCCTCTACATTCTTTGTGTGGCATAGTCTATGAGCACTCACATTTCTCTCTCTCTCTCTCTCTAGCTTTTTTGCCATTCCTGGGCTTGGACTCAGGGCTGGGGCACTGTCCCTGAGTTCCTCTTGCTCATGGCTAGCGCTCTACCACTTGAGCCACAGCACCACTTCCAGCTTTATCTGTTGGTGGGGTACTAAGGAATTGAACCTGGGGCTTCACACACTAGGCAAGCACTCTACCATTAAGCCACATCCCCAGCCCCAACATTCATATTTCTATATAAATCTTTCTACAAATTTGCTTTGTCATTTATCCTAACATTAATTGCCTGCCAAAATGTAGGCTCCAGGAGATAAAGAACTAAATCTGTCAAGCCCTGTTTTCCCCCGTGTCAGTAATGGAACCTGGCATATTAGGTACCCAACACTATTTCTTAAATAAACATATAAGTCCAACCAGGGGTCTGGAATAGAAGAATTCGAGAGTCACAATAAATATTTCCATCAGACATTCATATAAACAAACTGTTAAAACAGGTTTTAGTGGAATATTAAAACCCTGATTCTGAATTTTATTAAAATAAATCTCTTAATGATTTCAAATAGATTGGTAATAAAAGATTTTAGTAAATAGTTTCATTATGCAGAGATTTTATATATAAAGAGGTGTTTGAAAGAGGGATTATACATGCATGAAAAATTAATTGGTATCTAAGAATGAAAGGCCAACCTGCTGTTCATATCGCTGTTTGACATCCTCTAGCTGCCAGAAAAACTCCTTTGATTGTTTCTCACGAAGAGACTTGGATCTAGTTAGATCTGCTTCCACTTTTTCCATCTATAAAATTAAAAATCAAATTAAAAATTTGAAAAAAATTATATTGCATATTTTAATTTGTCAATTAATTAAAATGACATTTTAAACTCTTCAACAATCATAATGAGCTGTAATGAAATACATCAATTTATTTTAGCACATTTTAATAATTTAACATTTCTATATATCCCTTATATTCTAATATTATAATAATATAATAGAAATACATTAGACATTCATATATTTATTAAATATGATTTTAGTAAAACCTTGAGATGCTGTTGCTGTTCAATGGGATATACATCCAAATCATGTAACTGATAAGAGATATATCTAGAATATACAAACAATTGTTACAATTCAATAATAAATGAGGAATTAAGCCCAATTTTAAAATGGGCAAAAGATCTAGATAGACATTTCTGCAAATGTCCAAAGAACATATAAAAAGATGCTCAACATCACTGTCACCAGGCAACTATAACATAAGAACAATGTAATACTTCACATTCATTAGAATGGCTATGATATAGAAGACAGATACTGGTAGCCTTTTGGTGAAGGCATGGAGAAATCAGAACCTTTAACACTAAGGATGAGAATACAAAGTGGCATAAGTGTACTGGAAGCCAGTCTAGAAAACTGTATCAACAATATACTAAAAGGAGCAGACACAATGGTCAAGTTGGATTTACTTCTGGGATACAAGGAATTTTCAACACACACAAGTCTTACAAATGTGATACACTATAATCATATCAAAATGCCAAGAACTATAAAATCATCTCAATAAGATGTATGAAAAGCTTTGATAAAATTTAATATATTTTTATGATAAAACTCTTAATGGTTAATTATAAACTGTATATTAACATAATAATCATTATAAATAATAAATCCACAATCCAGTACTTCATACTCAATGGTGAAAAGTTTAAATTTTTCTTCTAAGATTAGGAACTAGACTATGATGTCCATTCTTATGCCTTCTTTTCATCACAGCATTACAAGTCTGACTAAGAGCAATTTGGCAAGAGAAATGAGACAATCTGTTTGCTGACAGCTTAATCTTAAATACAGAAAACTCTAAAGATTCCATTACAAATTGCTAGAATAAATAAATTCAGTAAAACTGAAGATTCCATTACAAATTGCTAGAATAAATAAATTCAGTAAAACTGAAGAATACCAAACTGACATTAAAAACCAGTAGAGTTTCTATAAATCAATTGAACAATCTGAAAAAGAAAGTAAAAACAAGAATTTCCTAAGATAATAATAAAAATTAGGTGTAAATTTTTACCTGAAATATAAAATAACAATTAGGTATAAATTTGAACAAAGAACTAAGAGATCCGCATACTAAAAACTATGAAATACTGATGAAAGAAATTCAGGAAAATGATTAGAGGAAAAGATATCCTATATTCTTAGATGGGAAGAATGTCTATTATTAAAGTACCTATATTAATCCACAAACTCAAGGAAATATCAATAAAAATTTCAATAACTTTTTACAGAATTTGGTAAAATAGTCCTAAAATTTGCATAGAACCATAAAAGGACCCAAATAGTCAAAGTAATCTTGAGGAAAACAAAAACAAAAGCAAAAAACCAAAGCTGAAGCTATCACATTACCTGTTGACAAAATACATACAAAAGCTATAGGAATCAAATCAGCATACCCTTCACATAAAAGTAGACTAACTGACCAATGGAATAAGACAGAGTCCAGAAACAAACCTATATATTTATAGTCAATTGATTCTCTATGGAGAATCAATCACACAATGAGGAAAGGATAATTTCATTAATAAATGTATTGGAAAAACTGGCTATCTACCTATAGATGAGTAAAACTTCATCTTTATCTAAATCTATTCAGAAAACTCAACTCAGAATGGATGAGAGATTTAAACGTAAGACAAAAAGCCAAAACACTACCAGGAAAAAACATGGTTGTATCAAATTTAAAAGTTCCTGCATAGCAATTGACAGAGTGAAGATAGAGCTTTGCTATGGAAGAAATCTCTACACAGGGACCATCTGATAACGGCTCAATTTCATAATACATGCATACATACACACATATATGAATATAAACTATCCATTTAACCATAGGTAAAAAGCTGGCACAGCACCTGCAATCCCAGGTGTATAAGAGGTATATAATACAGGAGTATCAGACTGAGGTTAGCCAGGGCAAATATTTGAGACCCATCTGAAAAAATAACCTGAAGCAAAAAGGACTGAAGGTGTAGTCAAGTGGGGGAAAGCTTGCCTAGCAAGTTTTAGGCCTTCAGTACGAACCAGAGTACAGGCCCCCGCCCTCTCCCAAAGAAAAACTACCCCCACAAAAATACCCCAAAGAATTTGAACAGACATTTCTCAAATGAAGTCATTACACTGGCCAATAAATACACACAAAAAGGTTCAGCATCTCTGATCACTACAGCAATGCAAATAAAAACCACAATGTGCAACTCACACTTGATGGAAGGGTTACTGAGAACAGGTGCCTTAAGAATGTGGAGAAAGGAAAGCTATAAGCACAAGTAGGGGAAAATTATTCCAGAAAACAGGATGGAGGTTTTCCAAAACTTAAAAACAGAACTATTATTTGGTGCAGCAAATGCACAAATGGGTGCATATGTATTGAAATGAGTATACTGAAGAGATATTTGCATGTCCACAAGACTGTAGCATCATTTACAATAGGCAGGATATGGTATCTCCCATATACCCATCATTGGGAAAAACAAAGGAAGCATATTACATATATACTGTTCTCCCTTTAAAAAAAAAGAAAATTCTGTCAATTGCAACAACTATTGAAATAGATTTCTTCAGTTGTTCTTAGTGGACAGAGCCACACAACTGTTCTGACTCCAGAGCTTGCAGAGACTGCTAGAGTTGCAGCCCTGAAGCAGGCAACACCTACTTAATGTTGCAACTCAGCAACAGACAATGCCTGTTAGTGAGCTCTACAGCTAGTGCTGCTGTTGTAGCCTTCTCGGATTGTTGTCTCAATTCAACAAATGAAGTCTAGAATAATAGAGGATAAGATCGAAGAACTTTAGAAGTATCTTGGTCAAAGGCCTCTGTTGCTGTCTGTGTGTGTCTTCTCTCCAACCTTTATGTGCTGCCTCTGTCTCTTGAATCTAGAGGTTTTTATATCCTGGGCTGGGCTCTGACTGGTCACCCATATGTAAAGTGAGGGCTAGGGCAACCAATCAGAGAAGATCTGCTGAGACACTGTGAGTCTCCAAACCTAAAACGATAGTTCTCTATTGGGTCTGTCACCTGATCTCCCAGAGAGGACAAAACTGCAAGATCTCCCTTATATGTGGAGTGTAAGAAAGTCAAACTGATAGCACTAGATAGTACAGTTTGGGGCACTAGGGGCTGTAAAAGAGCAGCAGAAGCCATGCTGTTCAAAGGACACAGGTTTCAAGTAGATCCAAGGAAAAAGTCTACCGATCAGTGGCATTGTATGGGGAATATAGTCAACAATGTGTATTTCAAATTTCAAATATCTTACCACAAAAAGTAAGTAAAAACATGATTCATCTTTAATCATAAGCATGGTATAAAAGTTACCAAAATACTATAACATGATATATTTGGTTATGATTTATAATTTTAAAATAAAAACATGTTAATTGTTCATTTAAGTATAATATATTCAGTATGTTGCAAGTTTTTTTCTTTAATCATAACAAATCTCAAAAAAAATGATACTTTTCCATTCTCTCCAGAATCACAGAGGAGGCTCTTTAGGTCTGCCTAAAGGACCATACATAATCTTTTGTTCTCACCTTTCACAGTAGTTTTTTTTTCACTGAGTGTAAAATCCTAACTCAAGAGCCTATCTCCTTTTTCATGGCCACACAAAGCTGTGTGTGTGCATGCACAACACAAGGTGGTCAGCTAAACACATTCTGAAATAAAAGGAGATCAAATGTTTGTTTATAAGCACACTTTTAGCCTGTACATTTAAAGCGAAAGGCCTCCAAACAACCTGATGGCACTTGTAAATAAGAAGTGCTTTCTAATAATAAAATCATTTTGAGACAAAAAAATTCTTAAAGATGGGCGAACAAAAAGGAGTAAAAGGACAAGAAAAAGGTCAAAAAGAATCTATCTATCTAATGTTTTAAGATAGATCTTTATGGAAAATTGACTTTGTTCTTTTTACTTCAATATATTAAAAATTACTAATAAATTTGAAAATAATGTTATACATCAAAATACTTGAAAATTTCATGCTACATGTTCAAATAATCTTCCATACTCAAAATAGAAAACAATAAATAGAAAACAAATAAATTGCTGAATAAATTATAAATAACATTATCTATGTCACTTGAGATAATACTGACCGAAAATGCCAAACCCCACTCCATTATTCTTCCACAATTTAACAAATACTCAAAAGCTAAGTCCTACATAGTTTGTATAAAAATTAAGTTCTCAGTTGCCATAGATAGATTCTGTTTCATCATTCAACATTCCAAATTCCATTCAACTTCAAGTTCAAAAAAGAAGCAAGCAAAGTCCATTTTTTCATCTCTGGCCTCAAGATACGGGATAAAAATTGATGGTCAAATTAGAAGAGGAGTTGACTATACATTTCTATGGCTGTAAAGTATTTAAAGATTCAAGAAAAAGCCATAGTGAATGATGTTGGGTCTTCCTGATATGGTGGCTTACACATTACTTTTTGCTACCTTGTAAGAGAGAGGCCATGTACATATTTAGAACAGCATACAGTTCTAACCTAACAAAAAGTTAAAAAGGAAGCTTCTATAGCTGCAACTCAAAGATTTCAGGGTTGAGGTCACTGTAATTCAAGCTTTCCTTAAGAGTTGTGAAATGGTTTCAGCCTTTCTGGAAGTCTGGGGAGGGAAAGTCACAGGATGAAGGGAATAGGAATGAGATCAAAGGACATACAGTAGCTAACTTGAGCCCTTTTTTTAAGGATCTCCTGCAAGTTCCTGCCAATAGAAAATTAGTTATTA